GGATGTGGAGAAAAGGGAACCCCTATGCACTGTTAGGTGGGAATATAAATTGGTGTGGCCATCATGGAAAACAATATAGAGATACCTCAAAAAATTAAAAATAGAACTACTATATAATCCAGCAATTCCACTTTTGGGTATATATCTGAAGAAAACAAAATAACTATCTCAAAAAGATATCTGCATCCCCATGTTCACAAAAGCATTATTTACAATAGCCAAGACATGGAAACAACCTAAGTGTTGATTGATGAATGAATGGATAAAGAAAATGTGATATGTAGATATATATATATAGATATTATTCAGTCATAAAAAAAGAGGGAAATACTGCCACTTGTAACAACATGGATGAACTTTGAGGGCATTATTTTAAGTGAAATAAGTCAAATGCTGTATGATCTCACTTATGGGGAATCTAAAAAATAAAATATCAAAATGATGGATACAGAGAACAAATTGGTGGTTCCCAGAAGCAGGGTTTTGGGGGATGAGTGAAATGGTTGAAGGTGGTCAAAAGGTACAAATTTCTGTTATAAGATAAGTCCTGGAGCTGTAATGTACAGCATGGTGAGTATAGTTAACAATACTGTACCGTATATTTGAAAGTTGCTAAAAGAATAAATTTTAACAGTTATCATCATAAGAAAAAACAATGCATGGTAATGGATGTTAACTAAACTTATTATGGTGATCAGTTCCCAATATATGCATACATCAAATCATTATATTGTATACCTAAAATGCACATGATATTATATGTCAATTATATCCCAATTTTAAAAGTACAGTAATGGAAATGAAAACTTCATTAGAGAAGTTCAATAGCAGATTTGAAATGACAGAAAAATCAGTGTGTGAAGACAGAACAATAAAAATCATACAATCTTAAGATCAGAAAAAAAGAGAGGAAAAATAAAGAGTTCCTCAGAGACCTAGAGGATACCACTACTAACATACACATAACACGGCTAAGAGGGACAGGAGAGAGAGAAAGGGACAGAAAAGTTATTAAAATTGTCTAAAACCCCCAAATTTCAGGGGGGAAAAAACACAACAACACACGAATCCAAGAAGCTAAACAAATATGAAGCAGGTGAAACAAAGAGATTTATATCTAGATACACCTTAGTTGAACTTTTGAAAGCCAAAGAAAGAGAGAACACTTTGAAAGCAGTAACAGAAAAACTATCTATCATGAACAAGAGAACCACAATAATATTAAGCTGACCCCTACCAGAATAATGGAGACTAGAAGTTACCAGGATGATATATGCAAAGTTCAGAAAGAAATAAAACTGTCAGTAGACAATTCTATATCCAGCAAAACTATCCTTCAAAAAATAAGGCCAGCCCAGCCGGGCATGGCTCAGTGGTTGAGCACTGACCCAGGATCCAGGCGATCGGGGTTCGATTCCCAGTCAGGGCACATGCCCAGGTGGCGGGCTCGATCCCCAGTTGGGGGGCGTGCAGGAGGCAGCCGATCCATGACTCTCTCATCATGGATGTTTCTATCTCTCTATCCCTCTCCTTTCTTCTCTATGAAATCAATAAAGATATATTTAAAAAATAATAATAATAAGGCCAAATAAAGACATTTCCAAACAAATACTGAGGGAATTCATTGGTAGCAAGCCTGCCTCCTGCAAAAAAAAAAAACAAAATACTAAAGCCCTCCCAGGCTTGGCTCAGCAGTTAAGCGTCGACCTAGGATCCAGGAGATCGCAGTTCGATTCCCAGTCAGAGCATATGCCCTGGTTGTGGGCTCAATCCCCAGTTGGAGGCATGCAGGAGGCAGCCAATCAACGATGCCTCTCTCATCATTGATGCTTCTATCTCTCTCAAATCAATAAAGATATATTTTTAAAAAAACACAAAAAAACTAAAGAAAGTTCTTGGGCTGAAATGAAATGATACCCCCCAGAAGGAAACTCAAATCCCTACAAAGAAACAAAGAACACTGGTAAAGGGAATCGTGTAGGTAATTAGACAATTTAAATGTTCTTGTTTACTTTTCCTAACTGATTTAAGATTACTACATAAAACATTGTTTTTAAAATTATACTGGAGGGTTAGTAACATATAAAATATAACATATATGATATATGATAGCACAAAAGAGGGTTAGGAGAATGACAAAAGACAGTAAATCAAATCCACAGGCAGGAATGAAAAAGCTCTAATGTAATATATTAAATTAGTAGTAATCTGAAGTAGATCACAAGTTATTGTATACTGAAATATCTAGTATAATAATTAAGAAAATAAGTTTTAAAATATTACTAAAAGAATTTAAATGGTATACTAGGAAAAAATCTAACTCATACATAGAAGGTGGTAAAAGAACCAGAGAACAAAAAAAGATATAGACATAAAGAAAACAAACAGCAGTCACAGAAGTAAATCCAACCATATCACAATAAGATTAACATAAATGGATAAAGGACTGTAATCAAAAGGTAAAAATTGTCACTCCAAATTAGAAAAAATAAATCAGACTACATACTGTTTAGAAGTCACATTTTTTATTCAAAGAAAAATAGATTGAAAGTAAAAAGATATATTGATAACAGAAACAGTGACCATAAGGAAGCTACAAAAGCTATGTTGCTACTACACACATGACTGAATCACTGGCCACCAATAATTGGTTCAACCTCCAGCCTTTCCTTTCCCCAGGGACTGAAATTTCCAACCCTCTAATCACAGGTTGGTTCCCCGGCAGGCCAGCCCCATCCTTAAGGGCACAACAAAATCATATTAACATAACAAGAAACTCTCCTCAGAGGAAACTCCAAGGGTTTCATGAGCTCTGCGCCAGAAACCTGGAATGAAGACCAAATATATATTTCTTAACTAAAAGTCACAATATCACAGATGGCAAATTGAAAACACATTTCCCCCAAGCGCAAAGAGAAGAGACATCAGCATAAAATTTTGGAAACCCATAACAGACTTAGCAAATCCAAGAAAGTCAGCTGTAAGGCAGCAGTGGGAGAAGCTGAAAAATGACCCAGGTTGCATGGCAGAACTCTAACTGGAAAAATAAGTGGTGCCAGGAACCTCTGAACACAGGGGTGAAGTTGGGGGCTGAAAACAGAAGAGCATATGGGAGACCCCAACATGACCCACCCCTGCACCTCTGAGCCTCACTCAGAATTAGAAGGTCCAGAAGGTCCCACTCGATTGAGCCTGCACAGTTGGGGGCAGTCTGCTAAGAAGAAAGAAAATTTCCACCTGAACCAGAAGGCATGCCCAGGCCCCTCTTACACAAGACCGCCCATAATCTCCTGAGATAGCACGGGAAGTCCACAAAGCAACAAGAACATTTGGAAACCAAAAAATAATTCTTGGAAATTAAAAATATGACAACAAAAATAGAAGGGTAAGAAGATAAAATACAAGAAGTATAAAGGAAAACAAAAGCACGGGACAGAAAAATGAGAATGCTGTTAGATTAGTCCAGGAAGTCAGATAACAAAAAGGAGCACATTTTAAAACCTGAGGGGAAGAAATTATCCAACAAATAATGAGAAATGTCCTCAGATGTGACGGAGAAATGAGAAGGCTCGCTGAGGGCCCTGGACACCAGGAGCACAGCCCTCCAGTAGCATAGCTTTCCAGAAGCTGTCAGCGGCTCTGCAGAACAAAATGGCTCTCCAGAACAAAATGGCCCTGCATGTGCCCGTCCTGTTCAGGTTTCCTATTCTCACTGTCTCCATAGTTTTCCTAGAGTGCTATTTTGCAGATTTAAAACATCTAACAAATAGCATCCTGCTATATCCCCAAGAGGAAAACTGACAAAGGTTTAGTCATCTCATCCTCCAAAAGCACCCTTCCTGAGGGTAAAATCTAGGGCTCTGTTCCCTGCAACTGCAGCAATAGACCTTCACAGACAGGCACTTAGGAAACAGCAGGTGGTGAGTGTAGGTGAGGTCCCTCAGGGGCAAGGGTTCCCACTACCACTACCCCTACAGCCCTCGTCCAAGAGATGCGGGCTGTGCTCAGGGCCTGTAACCAAGAGGCTGCCTCCCTGTCCTGAGCTCCCAGCAGCCCTCCAAGATGTGGGGAGAGGCTATTCCTACTAGGTTCTAAGATTCCTGGAGGACTCTGCATGTCTTACTGTCAGGCCAGTGCTTCTCAAAGTGTGGTCAAAATCACTTAATAGCACCGTGACATTACAATCTGGCTTTGCTGCTCTCATTGTCAACAGGACTATACACAGGGCTTTCCAAAGGGTAGCACAGCACTCACTGCAGAAGCAGGTATGGGAACCCAATGTCTTCTGCTAAGCCTCACTTTACAGAGGTGCAAAGTCTCAAACAGTGCCGCTCTTCACTGAACAGATTTTGCTTTAGAAAGTTCTTATTTCTTTAAAAAAAATGTTACTTTTATTACTAAGTCATGAGTTTATTATTGTACTCTTTAAATGAATAAATAACTTTTTAATTTTTTAGTTTTAAAAAAACATGGTCAATATAACATAACCCACAGAAACAAAAGTTTTCTGGGGGTCTCAATTTTTAAGAGAGTAGAAGGACCCCAAGGCCCAAGGTTTGAGAGTGACTGGTCTGGCAGCTCAGGTGGCAACTTTTGAAGCCAAAATGCTTCAGCTGAAACCTGGCTGCTCCATAGCTATGTAAAAAAAATTAACTGCTAAAAAAATAAACTATGCTAATAAACTTAGTGTGTGATCTTGAACAAATTCCCTGGCCTCACAGCCTCAGTTTCCCCATCAGCAAAATGAAGTCAACATGTTCTTCTTGGCTTGTTTGGTGACTGAATAAGGTGATTCTCATTGAACATTTACACCAAACCTGGCAACAGTGCCCTTTCAATAAACACCAGCCCTTACTGTCTGTATGCCCAGAGCAGCCAGCCCAGCGTTAACTGTCCACAACAGGTATAACCCATGTTTTCTGACTGTGTGTTAAATATGGGATATGGAAGACACCCCAGCCACCAAAAGAGCAGCTTAGGGCTGCAGTACTTTTCTCTACCTGTCAGCCACATCCAGGTCAGAATCCATATTGTCCAGGCTGCTTGTTATGCTGTTCAGCTGCTCACCCTGGTAGTGTAGGACTCTGGCTGCATCTTCCAGACGCTTCTGGGAACAGGCCATCAGACCAGTCAGCTCCTTCCCCTTGGTCACGGGGGAGGATGACGCCTCCACAGCAGCTCTTGGCTGAGACAGCAGCAACTCTCTCCAAAAGTGCTCGATGACATGAAACACAACATTCCGACTAGGCTGCAAGGAACTAAACCAGTGCTTGACATGGTTCTTTTCCAGGATGGTGATAGAACTGAAGATAAAATGAGAAGCCTCTTTCTTGATCTCAATTATATCAGCAAGGGGAAAGCTGACAAGAAAGTCTCCAGTCTTTTCAGTCATAAATTTTAGTGAGAGTGAAGTTAACAAAAGTTTTCCAGGAACCCATCGCTTCTCAAGTTCTAAATAGTAGGAGCACGGCCAGGTGTGGACGCAGAGGTCTCTGCTCATCTGGTTCCTGGGTCAGTCTGTACCAGAGCCAAGGCCACTCTGCTCTGAGGTAAAAGGGACAAATTAGTAGGTCTGCGAGGCTAAAATGCATCATCACACTTGGACTAGAGACACTAGGACATCTATGGTGAGGGAATGGTCTGGATTCAGAACGAACCTGAAACACCAGCAGAGTAGGGTCCTTGCCTAGAAAGAGCTCTCACCACAGACGTAACAGGCAGGACAAAGTCTTTGTCCTACTCAGCAGAGAGGACACGGCCACGTCTCAAATTTGTGCATTTCCCAAAGCCCCACCAGAGCACCCCCACTCGGACCAAGGTCCACAGCTGTATGTGACTGAAGGAAGAAAACTGCTGGAAACCACCATCTAAGATCTTTCACACAAACACCATTTCGGCTGTGACGACCCCTATCACTGCACATTCTTTACAAGTTTCTAAGCTAACAAAGAGTCTTCATTTGAAATTTTTATAAACTTAATTTCACAGAGAAAATATTAAACTGATAAGAACAGATGCTCCACTTGATCGAGAAGCAATCACAGAGAAAATAATCCTACAAACTTTTCCCCTCTTGTAATCCCAAATAATTTTTATATTGTTCCACACAATTATGGAGTTATACGCATACATTTAATATAGTTTTATAGTTTTATCTATAATTAGTATTTATCAGTGCAATTTGAAAAGTCATGAAGGATTTGAAACAACACTTATAGAACATTTAGCCTAACCTTGTCATACAGACGAAGAATACAGGCATGAAAGGATAAGGGCCTTGTACAATGTCAAACCACAATGTCACAATGTTGACGTGGCTAAACCTAGGCCTGCTAAGGCTCTTCCAAGTAGAGGTACACCTGCAATACTGCACATCTTTCACTTCTTTCTCTCTCTCTCTCTCTCTCTCTCTCTCTCTCTCTCTCTCTCTCTCTCACACACACACACACACACTCTTCAATGATGATGTAACTTCACTTATAAAAATGAAAAATAACTAATATTATCTCTTAAAATACTGAAAAGCATGAGCTTTCACGGTGTGGCTAGAGGCCATTAGAGACTCTCTGCATTTGGTCAACAAGTTTTAGCCACTGTGCCACGCTGGACTGCAAGGACAAGAGAAATCGACAGTGACATAGTCCTGGGCTCCTGGAGCTTAGAACCCAGTGGAAGTGTATGCATTTCCTCACTGAGCTACACTCTAAAGATCCAGACTCTTCAATGTAATTGCTGTAAAGACATCACTTCAAGCAACAAGGCTTAACAACAAAAAAAGGTGGAACCTACACCTGAAGAACTTGCGTGGAATTGATTCCTAATTATACAAAAACAGTGATGTGAGAAAAGGCAATGTATCATCAAATACAAAGGGAGTTAACACAAATGAAACCCCTAAGCTCGTAGGGCTGTAGGCATGGTCAGGACTACAGCAGCAGCCTAAAGGGTCTCCTGCCTTTGGCATTTGCCACCCTGCACTGCCACCGCAATCTCTCTAGAGAGATTACCTCTCCAGCTCTTACCTCTCCCTGCGCCCATCCCTCATGGGGCTGTGTAGAGCTGGCACACTCACTGCACCTGTATGAGGCAGGATGACCACTTGTTTATTTGTAAGCTTTCGGGTATTTTGTTCATAATCCTAACAGGGAACACTTTGTGACTGAATGAATGGAACAACCACTCATGGTTTACAGTGTTTGTCCAGCGGGGATCCTCAGCCCGGCTGAGGTCAATGTTGCAGGCTAGCCTCATGCTGCTGTTTAGAGTCCTATTGATGGCAGCCTTGATACTATTATACAAACTGCACAGATCTGGTCCCAGTCAAATTAATCAGAGTGGCTGATGGAGTGAAATGGGAATATTCACCAAGGCCAAGATGATGCAGAAACAAGAAGTGGACATTACTGAGAGGCAATTCTCCTTGGCATTTCTCCACATTTGGTGTCAGTGTCTATCTCAGACTATCTCATAGCTGTAGATGCTATCTCCCTTCTGGTTGACCTGGATGACAGGGCACTGTCCTCTTGGAGACAAGGGTTAGGCAGGTTTGTTAGCGGCCCCCTTACAAAATTGGAGGGTTCCTTGCTGTGACACAAGCCCACGCTATGTGCAGTGTACACCTGGGCCCTCAGAACCTGGGGCACAGGGGAACAGATGCACACATAAAGCCTGCTGTGCCATATCTAACAGGCCCTTTCTCTTTGACCAGGGTCCCTGTCTGCTGCTACATCTAGAAAAACTGTGGCAGGTTCACAGCTAACCTGCCAGTTTCACATCCTTCACAATAACTGACAGTGATGTGCACCACAAAGATCATTCCGCTCAGGGTATGGGTTCTTCACATGAGAATCTCTAATAAAACTAAATATTTAGGAAGCAAACTCCAGAAACCCACTTAATTGATTCATAACATCCTAGGATGTTTCTATTGGACTTAAGGGAATATCAAGGCTTTCCCCAAATTTTAATTCACTTTAAAAATAAGCATATGAAAAGTTCAGAAACTGGAAGTCAGAATGCTGGTTACAACTGGGGAGAAGAGAGGGGGCCTATAGGTGCCTCTGTGGCTGGTGATGTTCCACTTCTTGTCCTGGGTGTACTCATTTTGTGATAATTCAAGATTTGTGCATTTTCTATTCTTATGATTTATTCATTTCTTTGCATTAATCTCGCAATAAAAGATTTACTGTATGTTTAACAATATAAACTGTATTAAAAATTACTAATAAATGTACATATGAAAGGTACAACAGAACTGAATTTCAGCTGGATGCTACAATTTCACAAACATCTGAAATCTCTGCCCTAGGCAGAAGCACAGCTAGAAGGCACACCACCACATGGCTGTCACACTGACAACAGCAGATGTGCCATTCATTTGCATGTGACCCCTGGTCAGTTACTTAGCCTCTCTGCCTCCATTTTCTGGCCTGTAAACGGGATAGATTTGTCCCTATGCCACACTGCAGTGGTAAGGTTTAACTGAATTGATATATCAAAGGCACTTAGAAGAGCACCTGGCTCCATAAGGCTACATGTGACATTATGATCATATTTAATCCTACAAAGTATATAGAACTAACTCTGCTCATCCCTTAGATGTGGGAAAAGTCTACAGCTTCCTCTGGACCCTTCTTTACTTCTCATATGACTGCTAGAAGAGTGTCTTGTCCAGAATCTGCCATTTGGCCTAATTAGTTTTCACTATCTGATCAGAGGTGGCTACAAACAGCACCTAGCCACAAAAACAAACAAACACACACACACACAAACACTCACACACACAAACATGATGATGAAGAAGAGGAAAAGAAAAGATGGAAGAATGTGCCCAAAATTAAGGTGCCAAGTTAAAGCAAGACAACTCAATCCCACCACAGGACAAATAAATTTACCTTCTATGTTAATCTGACTCAAGTACTTCACCAATGCATCCTGGAAATTCTCTTCATCACAACAGAAAGGGCAGGCCCACACTTCCCAGATGCGCACACATGCCAACCAGCTCGTGTTACTCAGTCCCACACATCAGTCCAGATCACCAGCTGGGCTAATTACTAATACCAGAAATCAGGACAAGCCTATAAAAGATCTGCCATATTGAGTGTGAGAACTTTGTCATCATCGCAAAATAAAATAAGATATGGGACTCAGAAATAATATAAAGAAATCAGGGCTGGTGGGACCATAGAGACCATCTGTCCAACTCATATTTCATAGATGAATGCATATAGCAAGTCATGGCAGAAGCTCTAAAGTCCACTGATAGCCTGGCCAATACTCTCTCAAGAGTACTAATATCATCGAGTGTTTTGCAGAAGCATCAATTCTGAGAAAGTATCAGCCTTAGGGTCTGGATATTTAAGGAGATACAATACAGTTCAGACACCAGAGGAATATACAAATGAGGAGACATAATACAAATAAGCAACAGTAAGACTGCACATACTTGCACTAAAGAGCAAAGATAATATGTGGTAAAGAACATCCTAGAACAGACTGTTGTGGATTAAGTCTATAGGGAAGGCAAGCCTTCTACTTGAAGAACGTGGTAGGACTGGAACAGGAAGCAGCAGGCCAACTGCACCTTCTCACAATGATGGACATCACCACCCCAGGCCACAGAAGAGGACTTGAGGCTGACAGGGTCAGAAATTTGCCCAAGGAGACAGGAACCCAAGAATCTGTCTTCTTAGCTAGGATGACAATCAGTGCCAGACCAAGGGGAATCTACACTAAAAATGCAGAACAGCCTCAGGCTCTCATCCTGGGAGACTCTGTGAAGGAGCTAGAAAGTTCACCCTTTCCTGTCACTGGGAAGCCAGCAAGGAGTTCCTCAGGTATCTTCTTGAGGGGCCTGACCTGTGAGCTCTCCACATATGCTGGACCTTGCAGAAGCTCACCACGGGGGCAGAGCAGCTGGTCCTGCCTTTCCTCTGTGCCAATGGCCCATGCAGGATGGAGGGAACCTTAAGGCACCTGTGTCTTCATCAGCCCTTTTTCCCTAGTGAGAGGAGCACTGACCTGGGTACTCTGAGACAAACACAGACAAAATGCAGAGCATGGCTGAATGGGATTGGCCTCTTACAGGACAGGGAGCAAGTGCTGCAGGCCCCAGCTTATTCTGACCAACATAACCTACCATGCACACAACCTGCTAGACTGTGAAAAATGCAAAAGGTCTCTACTTTCAGAACTAGGGGATGACTACGGCATCAGGATAGCCATGGTTTTCAGTGTTTCTGTGTCTAAGACAAATGTCGGGCCTCTGTCACAGCAGCATGCTCACAGTCCTGGTCGGCCCTGAACCTGGCTAGATCCTGGTCCTCCTACTGAAAGAAACCTCCCACCACCTGGCCACCCCGGCTGGCCATAAACCATGTCCAACTCCTGGAGAGAGTGGGGGAGGGGTATATCTTGTTCACCATTGCCCTGTACTTTAAGAGCTGCATTTAGCATGGAAACTGAATTTATGTTAACAATCTCCTGGCCTGAGCACTGAGGGAGATTATGCACAAATGCCCCAAAGAATTACTGAGTCTGGCTTGCAGCATCGGAGGAGACACATTGTACTCCCAACTTCAGTTCTGCCACAAACTTTATGACTATGGAAAAGTTAGTTCCCTTCTGAGCCTCTTCATCCACCATTAAAATAGCTAAAAGACCTAAGAACAACATCAGCTCTAAAATACAAAATTCAAATGGGAGAAAAGAAAAAGGAAAGATGAGTTAGGAGGAGAACCCAGACACTTCTCTCGTCCTGGCTATAAGAAAGACGAGCAAGTACTTAGGTTTGACAACCACCAGGGAAAACGCAACAGGAAAATCCTGTGGCCACAGCTTTTCCTAACGCAGTTTCTATGGCAGCTTTCTCAACAGACCACAGTAAAGAGGACCAAGTGGCTCAGCGGTTGAGCATCGACCTAGGATCCAGGAGATCGGGGTTCGATTCCCGGTCAGGACACATGCCCGGGTTGCGGGCTTGATCCCCAGTCGGGGGCGTGCAGGAGGCAGCTGATCAATGACTTTCTCATCACTGATGTTTCTCTCTCTCTCTCCCCCTCTCTGAAATCAATAAAGATATATTTTTTAAAAAAACACAAAAAAGAAAACAAACAAAAAGAGGACCAAGTGGAACTCCACCTACATGCCCCCATCTCTCCTGGGTGCGCTGTCTTACCCCAGTCCGTCTACAGCCCACAGGAAGAAGTGTCCTCCTCCCTCAAAGGCCAGGCTCTTGTACCCTTGGCCCCAACCCTCTCCTTCTCCAGCAACATCAACTTCTCCTTCCCTCTGGCCCCAGGGGCTCACTGTCCTGCTAAGGGGCAGAGAGTGGATAGTTTAGGCTCTTGGGCATGTGGTCTCTGGCACCATGCTCACCTCTGCCGCTGTAGAGTGGAAGCACCAGAGACTATACAGAACAAAGAGCGCGGCAGCTCTGATACACCTCATTTATAAAAAAGGAGCAGCAAATGTGGGCAGGGCCACAGTTGCCAACCTGTCCTTGATCTTCTCCTCAGTTTACACATCTTCTCTAGGAGCTATACCTGCAAACAGACAAACACATACCTGCCCCACCTCCCCACAGCCCTGACTAGCTGCTGCTCCTCTAACAGACACTCGCTGCTTCCCTATGCTCATCCGTTCACATAGGTTCCTATCCCCGCCACGCACTGGCACAGCTCTACACAGGCCTCAGGGTGGCCAAACCCAATGCCGGCATCTGCTGTAACCTCTGTCCAGCACAGCTGCCCCTCCAGAGAGACACCACATTCTGGCTCCTGGGCTCCCACCCCAGGTGGTTGTTCCAGTCTCCTCTGCTGGCCCATCCTCTCCCCGGACTGTTGAATGTTGGAATGACCAGGACACAGCCCTGGCCCTCTTAATCAACACAACACTCTCCTCCTCAGTGAGTCATCACAGTTCCATGTCATCATATGCCACCTCTGAGCTGCTGCCTCGCAAACTTTACCTCCAACCCAGCCTTTCTTACCACAGACATCAGAGTAGCCTAGGCGTCTCCACTTGACCATCTAATAGGTATCTCCACCTCTTCTAAACCCCAGTGATGGCACTGCAGGTGAGTTCTCCTGGATCCCCTCCATCTTCAGCCCTTCTAACAATCTATCAGCAAGTCCTGGCAGCTGTGCTGCATCAGCCACACCACCAAGCAAGGCTGTCACTACTCCTTTGGACAACCTCTCAACTTCCCTCCTTGCTTCACTCTCCCCCCACCAACTATTCTTCATCCAGCAGCCAATGTGACAGTCATAACACAAGATTAGAAAATGACATATAAAACCAGCTATCTTACTTCTAGATATATATTCAGAATATTAATTCAGCCATAAAAAAGAAGGAAATTCTGCTATTTGTGACAAAACAGATGGACCATGAGGGCATTATGTTAAGTGAAATAAATCAGATAAAGAAAGTAAAACAGAAAGTGCCACTTTTCTGCCAAAACCTTTCCCTATGTACTTCACTCTTCCCTCCCCAGCCCAGGAGGCTTTGCTGAGCTGCAGCCTTACCATCCAGCCCTTTCTACCTGTGTTCCACTGTTCCTACCTTAGAGGCCCCACTTGCTACTCCACGACTCTGAACAGTCTCTGCCCCAGTGACATCGTCTCCCTGGAAACGGAGGCCTCATCAAACACAGCACTCACCACAACTCCAAAAAGCCTATGAATGTGCTCACATGAGGACCAACTGGGTCAACATACTGAAGAAGCAAAGATCATACAGAGTGCCTTGTGCACAATGCCGGCACCTAGAAAGTACCTGCGGAGTGAATCCCATGCCATGTGGAAACATCGACTGTCCACTGTGGACTGTTTTCCTCCTTCCATATGCCGACCCAGGTCCAATCTACTCTAGGTTTTGGAGTTCTTACTCGGTCCTCACCTGCTGTAACCTAGAACCTATAACTTTTAGTGAAAGACTTACAGACCTGCGTGGACCCTAGAGCTAAAATGGAGAGGGAAGGTCATGGCAAGGCTCCCCAAAGGTGTCTGGAGCTCATCGCCAGAGTGATGCTCTGGGTCACTGGACCACATTTATGATGCACAGCAATTAGTATAACATCTCTTTCAGCCGTTGCATCAGACCTGTGCCTACAGTAAGACTTAGTATCAAGTAAACACCTATTTTTAGTTAATTTCCAGAATAACAGAACCAGCAACATTTTACACACCTTCCAATAACTCCTGACCACAAGAAGGCTTAGAGTCAGAACAGTGGGAGCAGTGTCTCCAGGTGCCATGGCCAGCCTTTTCCATTACCTTCACCTCCTGCTCCTCAGAGGCACCCACTCTCAACCTGGGAGGTTCCAAGTGCTGTTGGGGTGTTTTATTGAAACAACATGGCATATTCACAGGGTGTGCCCCATCTTTCTAGCTCCTCAGAGCAAATAGGATTTTATGTAATCCCCACTGCATTTCCTACAAAGTGCTTACTTTTAAACTCCCTCCTGCTGTTTTCTCTCTGGCCCTCTGAGGGGGTGTCACTGGGAAGTGCCCGCCCCCAGGATGTGACCGCAGTAGGTCTGAGTGGGGTCCAAGCATGTACATTTCTCGCCAGTTCCAGGTGATGCCAAGGCTGCCGTCTAGTGGCCTTTGAGGGACACAGAACTGGTTCTGTTAGAGCCTCACGTGTACAGTAGTGGTGACACTGCCAGCACCAGGTCACAGTGTGGACTAGGGGAAATACAACACAAATGCCTGGAACAGCTAGTACCCCAGAAAGGCGCTCTTTCCTACCCTGATGACCACCTCAGGGAGCATGTGGACCTACTGGCCCAAAGCCTCCCCTTTCTTAGGATATTTACTTTCAATCACATACCTTCAGCAGCTGGATTCCTCCCAGGCAATACCCACCTGAATTTCCTATTTCTCCCATGGGGCAAACTTTGACCCATATTTCCCAAATCTTTATATATTTATGAATACTTTGCTTCCCACACTTTCCCACTCTGTCCCCATGACCCACAGCTGTGTGAGTGTACAGGGAAGGAGGGAGGGAGGAAGAGAATAAATACGAAGGATTGGATAAATCAATGAACACATGTCTGGAAGGATAGCTCTCCATCAAAATAGGAAAACATGCTCATCTCTGGATGGGATTACGGGTGGCTCTTTTTCTCCATTTTGCCTTCCCCTGTGTTCTCACTGTCTACGTTAGCCCAGTGAATGCCACACCTTAACCACACAGGCAAAGGAGGCAGATGGGGCACAAATCACACACCTCCCACTGCTCCACTTACCACACGCTTTTTCCACCCCAAGTCCCATCTCGCCAGTGTTCTTTTTTTTTGTTGTTTATCCTCACCCAAGGATATCTTTTCCATTGCTTTTTAGGGAGGGAGGGAGGGAGAGGGAGGGGAAGAGAGAGAGAAAGATAGAGACAGAGAAACATGGATGTGAGAGACACATCAATTGGTTGCCTCCACACATGCCACGACAGGGGCTGGGGATCTCACCTGGAACCCAGGTACATGCCATTGACCGAAAATTGAACCAGTGACCCTTAGTGTGTCAGCAGATGCCTAACCATTGACCCACACCAGCCAGGGCTTGCCAGTGCTCTTCGCTCCCACCTTAGAACCCCCTCCATCTAGACCTCAGACTCTCCCAAACTCACTTTCCTCCTTGTTCTCCCCTCCTTCACCTTTCCCCACTTCTGTTCTCCTTCTGGAGAAGCTTCATACTGACTGAACTGTAAACCAAAGCTCCAGGACTAAGTCAGAAGTCTCTCCCCAGGAACAGACTACACAGCCACATCTAACTTTCCCTCCAGGAAATGAGATGAAAGAGTTCTTACTTGCTTTTTCTTCTGGTTTACTGTGTTGGAGATGTGTGAAGTTCTGCCAGCTCTGTTCTTACTTGTTGACACCCACATACATACATGTAATCTGCCAAGTTCACACAGTTATGAGTCTGTTTTCTTTCTTCCCATGCTGATCTGGGTAGGTTTGTGAGGTTAGGGCACTGATTTCTCTGTTAGGCTGAGACAGTGACATGTAACCCCCATCACGTTTCCATTCCTGTCCCTGCATTTTATTTAGGCCTGCTACGTATGCCAGCTCAAGTCTGGACCCTTGATCCCCATACCCTCATTTCAGGTCTTCCTATTCCTCCACAATCCCTTCAGGTCCCTAGCACCTCCCAGGGCACCTACCATCCCCTCCAGGTCCCCACTCTCTGTCCAGACCTCCACTATTGTTCAGGTCTCCACCATCCCCCTAGGCTCCCACCATGCCCTCCAGATCCCCTCCATCCCCTCGGCTCCCAGCATCCCCTCCAGGTCGCCATCATCCCCCTAGGCCCTCCATTATTCCCTCCAGGTTTCCATCATCACTATAGGCCCCCATTGTCTCCTCTAGATTCCCACGATCTCCCTAGACCCTCTTATTCCCCTCCAGGTCTCCATCATACCCCTAGGCCCCCACCATCCTCTCCAGGTCCCCCACCATCCCCTTAGTCCTTCACCATCCCCCAGTACCCTACCTTCAGCCCTTCTGCCCCTTTCTCAGCCCAGCCCAGAACCCACCACCTACCCCAGTCCCTGGGGCACTGAAAGGAGGGGTCCACACCGCGGCAGAGGCCCAGATGCAGACTAGGGACGACACATTCCTGAGTCTTGAGGCGCGAAGACGACGACTCTCGGGGTCGGCGCTGTTTGACAATCTCAGAGGCCGTATGGGGCCAGAGCTGGGTCGGATGTTTTGAGGGCCGTTCCAGCGCCCGCCTGAACCTGCGCCAGGTGAGGGCCGCCGCGAGTTGTACGCATGCGCTCAGGGCCCGGCGCGCTCCAGCTCCGGCTCCGGCAGGAACCATGCCCGCTGCTTTTTGGTTCCTCTGGGCGGTGTCTGGCCGACGGCACTTGAGTGTGGCTCGCGGTCTCGCTCCCGCCGGCGCGGGTGCAGACAGCGTCTGGGCCGGAAGTAGTTTTAGGAAATGCTTCCTTTTCACCTCCCGGGTTAAAATGGAAGGCTGTGGGAGTCCTGAGGCTGTGTTCCGGCTTCCGCCCTTCGCCGGGCGGCGGCGCTGGCACTCTGTCCTCGGAAGCCTCCCCGACCCTGGCAGCCCCTACGTTCTCGGTTGACCCTCTCTTCCCTTGCCGACCCCCCACCCCCAGAGGTTCTCCATCCCTCCTCTGAACCTTTTGTCCCCTCCTGACCATCCCCTCCGCCCCCGGCAGGCCGTCTGTCCCTGGCAGCCCCGCACCCCATGAATTTTGAGCCTGGCCCGGCATGGACAGGGAGACGCGGGTGTTCGCAGAGAGCCATTTCCGAGGCCTCCGGGGGCGTCTCCCCGGCGGGGTCTGCCCCACCCCCGACCGTGTGGACTTTATCGAGACGCCGGACTCCTTTTCCTACACGGATTTCTTCAAGGGTTACCTGCTGCCCAATGTGCCCTGTGTTTTCTCCAGCGCCTTCACCGAGGGCTGGGGCAGCAGGAGGCACTGGGTGACACCCAGTGGGAAGCCCGACTTCGATTATCTGCTTCAGAATTATGGTAAGTACTGAGGGCGAGCACAGGACTAGATAGAGCAGAGTCCCCTGATTCTCATCCTGCCAAATTCCCTTAGGTCATACTACATAGGGCGCAAATGAGGGCAGCCACTGAGAGTTTGGGGGGAGAAAGCATGAGTGGCTTCCCAAAAGAATTCATGCGGAGACGGTAGAAGCAGTGAGTTGGAGGATGGTCAGGGTGAGAGAAAATGGACAAGCTGGGGGACTCAGAAAAGCTTGTGCCTGACCCTCCCTTTTCAGGAGATGTAGTTGTACCTGTTGCAAACTGCGGGGTCCAGGAGTACAACTCGAACCCTAAAGAACACATGCACCTCAGAGATTACATCAGCTACTGGAAAGACTTCATCCAGGGAGACTACTCCTCTCCACGAGGCTGTCTCTACCTCAAAGACTGGCACCTGTGCAGGTAAAGATGTGGCACACTGGCCCTGGCACTGCTTTTTCCAGACCTGAGCAAGCCCTGGCTGCCTGTACACAGGAGATCTCGTCTTTTCCCCAGTTAGGAATTTTAATCCGTACAAAAAATCCAGCTCTCTGCAGCACAATGTGGCCATCTCATGGTATGCATGCAGTTGGGTGCTGTGGAGAGTGGGTCTGATGGAGGTTCAGGTGGTCTCTGGTTATTACATCTTTGTCACATTTGCCCACAGCTGAAGGCTCCACCCCCATGGAACTGGCGGCACCCAGCCTTTGTTCTTCCACTCAGACGTCCCCTGGAAACACCCCCATTTTCCAGGTCCAGCCTGTTGTGCTGCCAGACTCCTGACTGGCGGCCTGCCTGAGTCCTGCACCCAACTGCTAGGCTTGCTAAGGTCCAGATACTCTTTCCAGCGGGACTGTGTTCCATCTGCTTAAAATCTCCATCACTGCTGAGCAACACCAACTCTTTAAAGAGGATTTTTCTTTGTCTGCTCCCTCCTACACACTTCCACCTGGGGAGCTCAAACGATGCTGCTCTGAAAACATCTCACTCTCACTGCCATGCCCACTTTCTGAGGTGGTCCTTTGGTTTTGTTTCCATTTCCCCCACCCAGGGACCTGCTTTTCACCAGCAAAAACCATCCTAATCAGACTTCCCTCAGCTGGCACATAGGTGTTCAATTAATGTTGGATGAGTGAGTGCACAAATTGAATTCTTGTTTTGCTGATTTGGAAACTAAGGGTCAAAAAGGCAAAATGAGACTAGAACTCAGGCTCATGTGATTCTAAGACCAATGCTTGAGTACACAAGACACACCACCCTCTGCCCCCACCCACAGCATGTCCTTGGTGCTCCTGCCACAACTCTTTGTACTGGGTATGGAGCTCTCTGTACAGACAGTGGTTAAGGTGTGACCAGACACTGGTCCTGGCCCTCAGGGACTCATAGGCCCAGATGCTTATGCACTGTGGATTTGAGCTTCAGATAAACAATGAGTGGCGTTTTGGTTTGGTTTGGTTTGGTTTAAATATATCCCAAGTATCGAATGGGGCATACTTGTACTGAAACCATTTTGTTATTTGAAATTAGGTTTTGACTGAGTGTTTTGTATTTTCCCTGGCAACCTTAAAATGAAAAGAGCAGAGCAGGCCTGGGCCAGGCAGACAGGGGAGGTGCTATCTGAACAGGGCGTGATGAATGAGCAGGAGTCTATGAGTGCACAAAGGCATGGTGTTTGGGGAACTACAAGTGGTTTGGTGGTACTGGGCTCTCCTCATGGCCTCTGACCAAGCATGATGTACAAGCAAGTCCAGAAACTTGTTCCCGCCTGTCATTCTCCCTTGGGTTGGTTTAACATGCTCCTGTGTTGGGATCCACCAGTGGAGTGAGGGTTTGAGAGGCTGAGGGTGAAAAGGACCTTGGTGTTCATGGCAGTCCTTGTGCCTGGGCTGTGGCCTTGTGTCTGCTCAGCAAAGTCAAAGTCATTGGTGTAGTTGAAAACACCCAAGCGACCCACAATTTCAGAAAACCAGTGTGATTCAGATGATGCATTTAGAACCCAGCTCAGCCATAGTCTAAAATCCTGGAACTTGTGCTGGAGGCCCAGAGCACCTGGGTTGCTACCTCCATGGATTGTCTAGACCCTGTCACAGCACCCCACAGCCATCTCATCTACCTACCACTCTGGTTCAGTTATTTGGGCGAGCTCAGCTGGGGCCACTGAGAGCTGTGGTCATCTGGCTGTCAGACTAGGGCTGGGTCACCTGAGGTGGCCCCACTCAGCCTGGCAGTTGGTGCTGGCTCTGGAAGGTAGCTCAGGGTCCCTCACATTAGTGACCACATTGGGCTTGGGAGCATGGAGGTGGCAGCATCCTCATGCCGCTTGTTCTCTGAAGGGACTTCTCTGCCGAGGGCCTATTCACCCTGCCTGTGTACTTCTCATCCGACTGGCTCAACGAGTACTGGGACGCCCTGGATGTGGACGACTACCGTTTCATCTACATGGGGCCCACTGGCACCTGGTAACCGTGTGTCTGCTCCTACCCACTGCCCTGCACATTGTCCCTGGTCACTCTCCTAAATCATGCCGGCTCTCTTAGAGCCTTTGGGAGATTCCCCTTGGCCAGACCATGGAGTTAGCTGCCAGGTCTGACATTTCCAAGCCCACTTCCTTCTTTCCTTTGTGGCCCTGCCCAGAGCCCATGCCCCTCCTGCTGGATGTTCTGAGTGGGGAAGGTCTGGCTCACCCCTGTGGCTCACAGGTGAGAGCTGGGGATCTTGAGTCTCTGAGTGTGACCAGTCTATTTGGAAGAACCAAAGCCCACACCCAGGCAACAAGGCACCAACAGGGACTCTTCGCAGGTCACCGTTCCATGCCGACATTTTCCGCTCCTTCAGCTGGTCTGTCAACATCTGCGGGAGGAAAAAGTGGTTATTCTTCCCACCAGGGCAGGAAGAAGCCCTGCGGGATTGCCATGGGAGCCTGCCCTTCGATGTGACTGCCCCCGCATTCCTGGATAGCCGCCTGTGCCCTGTGCCCAAGCACTGTAGCCCACCGCTGGAGGTCACACAGGAGGCAGGCGAGATGGTGTTTGTGCCCAGCGGGTGGCACCACCAAGTACACAACCTGGTAGGGTGGGCACACCCTGCTTCTTCACATGCCTGAGAGGTAGCCCAGGCAGGCAGGGAGACACGCCATGGGGTTTCGCCAGGCTGGCCCTGACCCGCTTTTGACTGGGCCCCTTGGTACCTTTCTTGATGCTTCCTGAAGAGAGAGGGCTGTGCTGCCCCTCCTGACTCCACAGTTAGCAGGTTGTCCCTTTGGGAGAGCCCAGGTGTGTGACAGGGCAGGCCATAGTGAGGCTGGTTGACCCCACACAGCACTGCTAAGGGCTCCATCCCCTGTTCCCTCACTCCCACATTACTTTCCTAGTCCTCACACAGTGGGGTTGTCCAGGGCCCCTGGGTAGTCCTGCTGTGGGTTAGCTATGGACTCAGATGATCCCAGACTCTCTTCCTTCTTTCCTGCTGCCACCCACTGGGAGACAGGAGGGAGAGTCCTTCCCAGCTGAGGAGGGCTAGGAGGACCTCAGGATGGGGAAGGGGACAGTGCCCCCTGTGAGCTTGTGGGTACAGCCTGCAACCTGCCTCTTCCAGGAGGACACTATCTCCATCAACCATAACTGGGTCAACGGCTGTAACCTGGCCAACATGTGGCATTTCCTGCAGCAGGAGCTCTGTGCCGTGCAGCGAGAGGTCAGCGAGTGGAGGGACACCATGCCTGACTGGCACCACCACTGCCAGGTGGGGCGTCTGGCCTGGACAGGAGTGGGGACAGGGAGAGGCCATGACCATGGGAGGTTGGGGGGAGCTCACCAGGGCTGCAGTCGGGGGAGGGATGGCTACCTGGCCTGCCTGTAAGAGGGTCGGTCTGGGGCTGAGGCAGATCACAAAGGCTTCTAGGCTGCGGGGCTCAGACCAATCCATCATTGGCTAGCCCCAGGTATCTGTCTCCATCCTCAAAAGACTGGTCCATGGCTTAGGGTCCTTTGTAGCTGGGGCTCTGTCCAGAGTGAGCAGAAACTTGCCTGGAGTTTCAGGTGAACAGTAGCTCACTGGCCTCCCCTCTCTGCCCCAGGTCATCATGAAGTCATGCTCTGGGATTAATTTTGAAGAATTTTACCACTTCCTCAAGGTCATTGCTGAAAAGAGGCTCCTCCTAGCAAAGGAGATAGACCCTGGGGAAGTGGAGTGCAGTGAGCGTTCTGGGCTGGGCCCCCAGCAGACCATTTTTGACATCTGCCGCATTGCTGAGGTGCTGGCATCTGTGGTGGTCAACCCCGACTTCCAGAGAGTGGATACCAGCATGTTTTCGCCACGACCAGAGGATCTCCTGCAGCAGCTGGAGGAGGTTGTGGCTGCCACGGAGTCCCTTTAGTGTGTGCCATGAGGATCACAAGACACATCCTGACAGGACCCATCCTGACACATCCTGAGGCACTGGTATGGAAAGGCAGTTGCCCTGCTGCAGGATCCCTCCCAAAAATAAAGCTCCATCCTCCTCTGCAGGCTGGGACATGCCGCCTCCCTGCTGAGCCTTGTTGCCTTGGCCTCCCAGATATGGCTTCTGCACTTAAGGGTCTGGTCCTGTCCCTGTCCCGTCCTGGCATCCTGGGACTTCAGTACCTGTCCAGAGGGTCCAGGTTCTTTGTCCTTCTGAGGCCCAGATGGACTGGGGACTCAGATCCAGTGAGGGGGTGGGTGGAGAGTTGTTGGTAACTTGGACCTGTGGCAAGGAAGCTTGGAGTATGCTGGGGACTTGGGAGTGTGAGCAGCATGTGGCTGCGTTTTCTTGATGTCCCTAGCCTTCCCTCAGCAAAGGCTAGCATGAAGCTGATGAGCCTCCCATCCACAGCAGTACAGGGCAATGACTTGTCTTGCAGGCCCACTCTACAGAAGCACCATGCCCCACAAGTTCACACCTCTCCCTCTGGAGCAAGCCCCCTGGCATGGGGTAGTGACACTAGAGCCCAACCAAGGCACCCCCATGCTGCAGGGCCTGTCTGTCCCACACTTGAACCAGTTTAAATAGCGCCCTCCACTGGCCCCTGAGCCTGAGATGTCATTGGTTGGTGTTCTAGGCCAGGCTTCCAGGTATCATAGGCAGTGTCTTCAGGGGACACTCAGGCCCTGCTACTAGTAAATGGCAAGTCAGGACACTCATGTGTTGTCCCCCTCCTGCTTACTGCAGCAACGCCTTCCCCTTTAGAGGCTCCAGAGCCACCCCTCTGCTCCCAGCCAGCAGTGAGAGGGCCCTGATTAGCATCTAACTGCAGGCCAGATGGAGCCGGGGCCTCTCCCACACCTTGCACATCCATTCTGCACCATCCACCTACTTGTTGCACACCTATCTGCCATCCAGAGTCACTCTGCAAACTGACTCAACAAACGCTGTGTTGATTCATTCGTTCTATCCAACTCCCAATCTTTGCACCTCTTCTGTGCCAAGCAAATCAATTATTACACACTGTTCTACATTTTAACCTTTGTACCATCCAGTTTCCATTCAGTTGTATGAGTGTTCTCCAGGGAAATGGAACCAGACTGTATGGAGAGAGATGGAGCTGGTGAGAAGAGCTGACGTCGTATTCTTGGGTCCAAAGGCTGGACGCAGGCAAGGTTTCTGTGTTATAGTTTGGAAGCAAAATTGCTTCTTCATAAACCTTGGTCCTTGCTCTTAAGGCCTCAACTGATTGGACAAGGCCCATCCACATTATGGCAGGTCATCTGCTTTACTCAATCTGCTGAGTTAACTGTGAACCTCATCTAAAAACTCTCGACAGCAATATCCACACTGGCGTTTGACCAGGTGGCGAAGTTGGCACATAAATGTGACCAATGTAATCACTCTGTGCTTGTTCACTGGCCCAGGTTTCCACGTGTCACTGCTCCTTCCAGCACCTACTTAACACGCCCACGTTGACACTCAGCAGTCTGTCTCCTTGCAGTCACTGTGGACAATCCAATACCCTCCCCCCCTTGGTGTACTCATCTGCCCCCACAACTCTTCCATTTGGCAGTCCCTCTGCACACTTCCCTGAGTGTTTTTCAACCACTGGTTTGGCACAGTGTAAACTATTCACACTAACGGTAATTCTGCAACCACCCTTTGCGCACTCATTCTATACCAACTTCCACTATTTGCACACCCTCTGCCATTTAAGCATTGTACACTTGCTGTGTAATTCAAAAGCTCTTACTCTCCATTCAATCTCACACTTAGCCATTCAGAGTCACCTTTACCCACTCACCATGTGCAGTTCAACAACTAATCTATGCATGTACATCTTGCTCCATCCAGCTTTTACTTTAGCCCACCCTCTGGCATTTAACTGCTCTTTCCATGCTCACAAACTCACTTCACAGCCGTGTGTTGGTCAACAGTATCTTGTTACACACTCCCTGTGCAAGAGCCGCTCAGAACGCTTAGATGGAGCCTGCAACTGAGGTACACGCCCTTGGCCAGAACTGAACCTGGCCCTTCAGTCCTCGGGCCAACGCTGTAACCACTGAGCAAACTGGCTAGGGCAGGGCAACATTTTGACAAGATGCAGCGTTGTATCATCTCGTCCCCTATATTACACTCTGCAAGCAGACATGCTTGTGCCTGGTCCAAACTTCACTTTTGGCAAAAGAGAAACCTATCTTATGAGAGAAAAGTGACTTGGACCGATTTCCAAGGCATGCGTGGGCTCATGCCTTCCATTTGTGCCCATGGTGTGACTTGGAAATGGCAAGGGACCTTCCCACCACCGGCCACACTCAGCTAGTGAGGTTGGGAAAAGGGATATAAGATAATGGCCAAGGTTGGGTTAACGAGCTGTAGTATGGCCAGGAGTGCAAGCTACTCCTGGTGTAGTGACTTCCTCTCTCCTCTGGACAGGGGTCAGTAAGACCAGGTGACCAGACCATCTATCTGAAGCCTAAATGTGCCACTAGCCCATGTCTGACTCATAGGGGACCATTTTCAGCATCCTCATACCTCAGGCTCACCTTATCAGGCCAACTACCTCTCAGCTGTGCTGCACATTACTTTTTTTTAACTAAAATGGAAAGTCTAACATGAATATTAACTCAGGAAGTTAATTTTTATTATGTACTTAGGGGTTTGTGGGAACAATGCCAAGGGGTCCAAGGAATAGGGAGGCAGGTGCTTCTCAGATATGGGGCTTGTACTTCCATTGCAAGGTGATGTAGCTCACCTGCCTGCCCATCCCCCAGGGAGGGAGCAAGTGGTCAGTTCTGCCATCTGGAGGCGCTTTTCCAAATGCAGGTAACCTTCACTGGCTTCTTCAGAATGGGATAAACTGGGATTTGAGCTACATCACCCAGGAGGGCTTCTGATTCCTAAGTGATGTGATCTTCCAATTAGGTAGGTACCGAGGTGTGTTGGGTCAGTGAGTGGGGGGCTCCCCACACTATTTGGTGGGGACTCAAGATGCAGTTACATCCCCTTTGTGTTTCTCTTATTTAGGACCTGGTTTTACAGGTAAGACACAATAATAAGTGGAGCAATGTTCTTCCACTAGACAGATATATGAAGCAGATGGAGAACAATCTTCCAGCTGACAAGCCCTTAAGCGAGAGTGCAGGAGGGTGGGGCAAATGTATAGCCTGCTTCTATTTGGAATTTCCTCCTCCCATGGCCTTATAGATTCACCCCCCCCCTTTCCTGGCAGATCAATAAAAGAAGCAAACAATTTAGAAAAGGAGAGCCCCAATATTTATTTTTTGTTCAGGATATGACTTAACAGTTTTATTGCATTTACTGCTCCTCCGTGTGCAGGTGTCTACACAGGCACAGTAATAAGAATTATAAAACCTGTGGCTCTTCCACTGGGTTTGTGGCAGTAGCATAGGTGACAAGGAGCCTGGCTGCCTGCCGATGGACATGCAAATAGTAGGAAATGCCCACCTGGTGGCTTTGATTCAGCCACCACCACTCCACAGCCTCTGTGCTTTCTCGACATTGAGCCTGGCAGACGTATTACCAGTCTTCCAGGAACAATAAGAACATGGTTTTCGTTGCTTGAGGTTTCACAGCCAATGGTCACTCCCAATCCAGAACTCCAGGCCACAAATTTTCAAGGATATGCTGCTTCCATAGCAGCAAGCCAACTCCAGCTTCTGTTGACTCATCTGTTAATCAGGGATGACCAGATAATTGCAAGGCTATCTGGTTTTGTGGACTGAATTGTCTCCCCACCACCCAAAATTCATATTTACGTCCCAACCCCAGTACATCAGAATGTGGCCTTTCTTAGAAATATGGTCATTGTGGATGTTACTAGTTAAGACAGGAATATACCAGAGTAGGCATGGGGGCCCTGATCCAGTATGACTGGTGTACTTATAAAAAGGGGAAATTTGGAGACAGACAAGTACACAGGGACACCACATGAAGATGAAGGCAGAGATGGGGTAATGCTTCTACAAGGAACATCGACTGCCAGCAACCACCAGAAGCTGACCCTCACAGGGCTGACCCCCTGACCTTGGACTTCCAGCCTCCAGAACTGAGGCAATAAATGTCTGTTGTTCTAAGCCACCCTGTTTTTGGTACTTTGTTAAGGCAGCCCTAGCAAGTGAATATGAACAGCAGGCTAAGTTAATACGTATGTAGAACTTGACCTCACAGGAGGGTGTTTCCACGGCCCCTCACCCAAACAGAACCCCTCACTGGGACTGAGCTCCTCGTTCCCGGACACAATGGAATGGGCAGGGGAACTTAAGTGCCTTTTGAATGATGACAACTGCTTCTACCCTACAACCATTTACTGGGACCTTCAGGGTACAAAGAAGTGACATTTAGCAGGGTATGCAACATACAATTTAAAATGTGGGTATTGCCCTCGGTGTACTCAAAATCCCTAATAAGCAGCCACCATCATAAATAAAAGTATGACACAGTTCCCCTTCGCAAGCAGCTGTATAGCACCCTCAAGGCTTTTGACCCTGAAAGGGCTGCCTGATAACAGTGGGTGCTCCTTGGGTCAGCTGGTGACATGGCAGGATTGGTGCCTGGCCCTGCTCCCCACATGCACTTCCTGCCTCACTGCCTTTCTCTAGCCATTACCCTGCCCACAGCTTCTTGCTCTCAGATGGGAAGTGCAGTTACCCTGGAACCTCAGAATAGGGGTGGGAGGTTCAGACAAGGTATCATGGTAGTGTAGTGAGTTGGTGGTTAGGGACAGAACCCAAGGGGTCACCACATTTGGGGCAGCCATCTCTCAGCCTGCTTGGGAAGCGCTGGATGGGGCTCTCTCCCAACCCGAAACACCGGGCGAGTCCAAGCTGGTTACGCACCTCCCTCCCTGCTTTTTGGCACAGCAGAGACAAAAGAAATGCTCAGTTGGTCACTATCTCATTTCTACCTGAGAGCAAAGGGTGGGAAGGTGAGGTCTGTCCTGGGGCAGGTACCTCCCGGGGAGGGTCTGGCGTCAGTAAGAGTTGAGAGCCTGCTTGGAGCGGCGTTTCATATGCAGGCGCTGGTGGCGCAGGAGGTCGGAGTTGTGCAGGAAGCTTTTGACGCAGTACCGGCACCGAAAGGGCCGTGCCCGGTCCTTACCGTGCACGCTGCTGCGGTGCCTCGCCAGCTGATCAGGCCGCTGGAACAGCTTCCCGCAGTCATAGCACTGGATGCTCAGCCGGGCCCGGCCCTCGGCCAGCGGTGCATCAGGCCCCCCATCTGTGGACCCCGCCACCCCCTGCTCGCTCCCCATCACCGGCCGGGGTCCACTTTGCGGCAGGTGGATCCGCCTGTGGCAAAGCAGGTGCGAGTTGAGGCGGAAGCTCTTCCCACAGGCGCCGCACCGGAAAGGTTTCTGGGCCTCGTGGGCTTCCAGGTGCCCGTCCAGGTCCTCGCTGTCACTGAACAGCTCCCCACATACCGAGCACTCGTGCAGCTTCTCCTGCTCCCTGCGGCTGCGCAGGTGCCGGATGAAGTTGACCCTCCAGCGGAAGACCTTTCCGCAGTTGGGGCACACATAGGACTTCCCAGAGGTATGCACCTCGCCCCCAACTGAGGCGCCATTCTGCTGGGGGGTGGGGGTGCCGTGCTGCTTCCCCAAGGGGCTCCGCGGCTCATCTGCGCAGTAGGGACCCAGCTGGGAGTCTTCGTCCCCAGAGCTGGACAGGACGATCTCGATGGTCACCTCCTCATCCAGGCTGTTCTTAGGGGGCGGTGAGTCACCTCCAGCTGCAGGAAAGCAATGTGGAGGTCACTTAGCATTGATGCTGGAGTAGGTTATGACACTGGGGGCTGTGGGGAGAGGGTGAATGTATTTTGCATGTGAGAAGGCCGTGAACTTGGGGGACCAGAGGATGGAGTGCTAAGGGCAGAACTGCATCCCCTAAAGTTATTATACTTAAGTTGTAACCCCAAATACCTCAGGATGTGACTATATTTGGAATTAAGCTCTTTCAGGAGATAATTAAGTTAAAATGAGATTATTAGGGTGGGATGTAATCCAACTGGCATCCTCACAAAAAGAGATTAGGAAACAGATGTGTGTAAGCTCACGAAGAAGACGGCCAGCTACAGGCTGAGAGGCTACAGGAGAAGCTCCCCTTCTGATACCTGGATCTCAGACCTCCAGCCTTCAGTATTTTGAGAAAGTCAGTTTCTGTTGTTTGAGCTTCCCTAGAAGGTTGATACAAATGCATATGGGATGTCAACCCTCAAGTCAGCTAAAGTGACCAAAAAGAGATGCCAAGTTTCTAAAAAGGGGACATAAACAACCATTAGTGCTCCTGTGGGCCATTCACACAACAAAGTTAGGAATTGCTACCAGATGAGGTGGGATTCCTAGATGTTCCCAAAACACCAGAGAAAGACTAAATCCAGGGAGCTCTAAACTCATCAGTGATGAGTACAGAAGGGAGTATGTGGGCTGTGTGTTGGGGACGGGGTCCCCTGAATTGGCTATTAGGATAATAGGGTAACAAGGAAGAGTTGTGATCTGAGTGCATGTTTGAATGTATATTAAATCATGTAATCCTCAATAATAACCCCACAAGGCAGCTCTGATTCCTATCGATTCCTACCTCTGTTTTACAGAAAACAATTTAAAGGAGAGAGAGTAAGTTGCCCAAAGTGTCAGGAGAATTGAGCTCAATCTGGATTGGGCCATGCTGTGCGTGGCCTGGGAATGGATAATGGATGGTTCCCTGTGAGCTAGAGGGACTGAGGAGAGAAGCAGGGAGGACAGGAAGCCAGATGTGAAAAAAGAAAAGACAAAGGCATTATAAAAAATATATTTTTATGTTAGGATGGAGGAGCTTTCTTGAAAGACATAAAGCCAAAAAGGAGATGAATATTATATTTTAAAACTGTGAAAAACAAATGTGCTAAAACAATACACATAGTTCTAAAAAAGAAACACAGGAAGAATTATGCACACACCCCACACTCTCCCAGACCCTCTTTACCTGGGCAGGTGCTCTGAGCAAGTGTCGTCTGCTCGCAGGCCTGGAATTCTGGTACCTGTAGCTCATCCCGTTTTCCTCTTTCCTCGACCTGGAATGGCTGGAGACTTGGAAAGTCTTTCCAGAGAAGAAAATGGAAAGGTGGATTTGTCATACAGCTGCTGCACTACCTGGAGGAGCATCTTAATAGATGCCAGGCTGTGATCCAAGGGCAGCCCTGGGCTCCCTTCTTGGGCAGCCACTCAGTCAATGTTTGTAGAGCAAAGAATTTGTAGGCAAAAAGGTTCTGAAGCTGGATGGAATCAGCATGAGTCCCGGATCTGCCCCATCTACTTGCCTGTGAGTAAGTGACTGCCATCCCTATGGTCATTTCCACTTCTGTGGTGGGATTTCCACAGGCCCCAGGGCCCCTCGCAAACACTGCATGAACACAGTCTGCACAGAGCCTGCCGGGCAGACGGGACAGGGAGCTGGCCACCCCAGAGGCCCTGCATGCTCATTCCAGGTGAGGATGCGGAGCCATACCTGATTGCACTGTGCCAGCTCTAGGTCCTGAAGGGGAAGCAGTGTGGGGCTACTGTTGATACTGTACAAAGGTTTTTGCCCTAAAGGAGCAGTGTCTCAAGACACAGTGGTTAAAAACATACACAAGAAAGCCCAGGTAGGGGGACTGGGAAATGCTGCTACTGAGCTGTGCTGTTGTCAGCCAAGCCCCAGCACCCCGTGCCTCAGTTTCCTCATACCAGCAGTATGTGGTGGAAGGACTAGAGGATGAGACACCTGGAGGTACTGTGCCTAGTGCTCCTTCTCTACTGACCTATGGAGAATGTAACCTCACTTGTGGGGGGCCACTGGCTTGTCAGCACAGACCAGGTGCTATTTATAGCAGAGGAGAAAGAGATTTCCATTGTGTCCAAGTACCTGGTTGAGGGAATGAGAGCCTCACACCAGGCAAAATAAAAACCTACATTCTTTCTGTGAGGAGTTGGGGAGGAAGCAAGACGTGTTCTACCAAGACAGAGTCTGGGACTACAGAGGGATGCAGAGAGATGGCAGGGAGTGGCCCACTTCTGGCCGGCACCGCACAGTGACTCACCCAAGTAGGAGACCTGGGTAGCATCCTTCCCCTGGAGGTCCTGCAGCTCTGGAACACATGGCTCGTTCTCCTCACCCTGGGAGAGGTCCTGCTGGGTTCCTGGGTCATCTGTTCACAGAAAAGGGGAGGATACACATTCCTTAGTAACCTGGAGGGATGCAGGACAAGCCATGGCAGTGACAGGGCCATGCAGCGCTGCAGAGAAGCTGAAAGGCTTGAACAAGCAGTGAGGGCAGGGGAGGGGGCATACTAGTGGGGCAGCTGTCAGGCCCATGGGTTAGAAAGCCAGAACTTCAGAGGCCATAGGATCAGAATGATAGAAGAAAAGCAGATGCACAGGAACCTGTTATATTTGGTTTCATATGCAAAACAGCCAGTAAAAGCCTGATTTACGTGTGACAGGGACATGTGAGGGTCCCTCTACTAAGTGCCCTCAGGGTCACTGTGTGCAAGTGACCTGCTATCAGGGTTGGAGGGTGGTCAGCAAGATCAGATGTGGGCCCCCCAGCTCCCTGGTCTCAGGAGAGGGCAGAAGGAGGTCTTACTTGGAGGCAGTGAGACCCCGCAGTCCTCTCCAATGATGAACTCCCCGTAGAAGCCAGTCTGGGCAGGGTCTAGAAGGGACCAGTCTTCTTCTGAGAAACAGAAGATCATGTCCTCAAAAGGAGAAACCCGTTTCTGAAACCACAGAACAACAGTGACGCCTCAGTCCAGGGACAAGCTAGGGAAGGGTTGCTGCAAACAAGAGAGCCAGCTGGAGCTGAGGGTACAGCCCCGCAACATGTGTACATGGCAGGGAGAGAGCAGAAGGCTGCTCCCTTCCCAGCTCTCGCCTGGAATCCACCTTGTTCCTGTCTGGTTTGGCCGAATGCAAGCCATGATGTCTCTCTGGTGGCCAAGGGTGTGCAGAAACAGGCCCTCCTGCTTAGTGCAGGCAGGGTGCACAGTCCCAGGCAGCCAGTGAAGACCATCGACACCACCAGGCTCAGCCCACCATACAACATGCCATTTCTAGAGTTTATTTTGCACACATGCAGTGTTAGATCCGTACCAGCCTATGCACGGCAGCATTGATGATCACAGATATTATATTATCAATACATATTGATCATAAAGACTGAAGACGAACTCTCTGCTGATCACCAGAGCACTGATTAACTCCAAGACATTCTGCCAGGTTTGAGCACACTCCCTGCCCGGAGCGAGGGCTTTCTCTGCACAGAGGAGAGAAGCAGCTGCGCACAAGGTGATCTAGGCTGTTCAGCGCACAGAGCGTCCAGAAGTCTGGATCGCCAGCAGCGCTGCAGTGGGACCTGGGGTCAGGCGTGGCCGGGAGACTTCTCTTAAACTTGAGTCAGACCATGGGAACGTGTCCAATTCATTTTAATTTAAAAAATGGTGACATGTCCCTATTATACCAGAAGGCCATAAAAATAGAGAAATTCTTTACAAAATGGAAACAGATATTTGCCATTGAAGCAAGAAGTTATTTGGGTCTTAAATGTCCTATAAATATTAATATGACAATAGAATGATAACAATAAATGTCACTGAAAAATTATTCACTTTGTTTGAAATAATCTGGGGTCTTTACTACCTGAAAGAATACAGGAGAAGGAAGGCGTGACTAAGGAGAACTCCTGGTCTGGCTTTCTGTTCATACTGTCTAATCCCAGGACAGAAACACGCACCTCCACTAAGCACGTCACTGTGCGTGTTATCTTATATATGTGGTCGGAGGAACTGCCCACATGTATATTCACTGGATATTGGCTTAATGAGGCACAATAGTCATCAGGTGTGAATGAATCAAAATTATACTTTTTTTCACCCAGCCGGGCATGGCTCAGCGGTTCAGCATCGACCTAGGATCCAGGAGATCGAGGTTCAATTCCTAGTCAGAACACATGCCCGGGTTGCAGGCTCGATCCCCAGTCGGGGGTGTGCAGGAGGCAGCCGATCAATGACTTTCTCATCATTGATGTTTCTATCTCTCTCTCTCCCTCTCCCTTCCTCTCTCTGAAATCAATAAAGATATATATTTTTTAAAAATACTTTTTTTGTCAGATGGGCAAAAAATATATTTTTTGGTGTGCCAGAGAATTTTAGTAATAGTTTGTGTGTGCCATGAGATGAAAAAGGTTGAAAATCGTGGCTCTAGATGATCATGTTACTTGGGTGGTTGCTCTGGGGCTGGGATCAGGTGGGGGTGGGGGAGCGCAGAGCTGGAAAAGGACAGTTTTCAACAAATATCCTTTGGACTCTTCCTCCCCTATGTACACAGTTTTTTCACATTAACCCAGAGGCAGCAGAGAGCAGAACAATGAGCATAAAGGGCACAGAGCCCTTAAGGTCTTGCCTATTTGTCACATTTTCCCGTCTCTCATATATGTTGGGCGGGCATGTTTACTCATCCCCTAGGTCCCTGAGGACTTAAAAGGCATCACAGTATGTTACCCCAACAAGTGTCCATGTGAATCTTCTAAGAAAAAGGTTATCCCCCACATCAGCAAATTTCCTATGGCACCATGGTTCTCAACCAAGAGGGACAGATTCTGCACGCAGAGGATATGTGGCAATGCTTGGAGACATCTGTCTGTCTCCACTGCCACTGGGGTGGGCACTACAGACATCAAGAGGATGGAGGCACGGACGCTGCTCAACACCCCACAGTGCCCAGAACAGCCCCATGTGACAGAACTGTCAGCCAAAATGTCAATAAAGCCGTAGTCTAGAAAATGCCCTATAACATCCAAAAAACTTAACATGGGTTTGATAATATCATTTAGCGTCCTTTAAACTATGAAATGGTATTACCTTTTTCAAAGAAAGGAATTATGAAGACTCCCACAGGTGACTGTGACAAGAAGATTGGAAATTGCTGGGTCAAAGCTTTCCAATGGGCCCTAGAAATCTTGCTGAACATAAATTGTGTGTCAATCGCCAGGTGTACAAATGAAATTCAACAGTCTTATGTTAATAAGTCAATGGTTATGGGCTTACAAATACTTGTTTTGTTTTGCCCAAGCCCATCCGAAAAAAGATGAGGTTAAATGTAATGTTCCCATGGGTCCTTGGGGAAATTTCTGGACAATTATGGGAGAAAGTAACAGAAGTACACCCCATGACTCACTAATTCCACTCCCAGGACATTTTCCTAAGGAAATCATCAGGATGTATGCAAAGGTGTGTGTAAAAGAACGTAGAAGGTATTGTTTGGTAGAATCACACCTCAGGTTTCTTCTTTCCGCCTTTTTCCAGTGTCTGAAGACTTAGCCTAAGCATAGATCATTTCAGTTTCATTGCAATTTGAAACAAAATACCCATGCACCCACCTCTAAGATATAAACACTATAAACAGGTTATAGTCTTTGCTTTGGGTGGAGTGGTGGGTGGGTCACAGACTGCAGGCAGTTGAACTCAATGAGCTTCTCCTGTCCCCAGTGTTTGGTGTTTATATTCAGTGCATGTCTTTTAAACTCTAACTCCATCTGAATATAGCCTGAAATGATGTCACAGCACTGTTTTGTATGGTTTTAAATGTTGAACTTGCCTCACACTCCCATTCTGTTTAAGACTTACTCACGGGCATATATGTAGGTCTAGTTCACTGACTTAAACCGATGTGTAGAATTTCAGTGTGTGGTGATTTCACCCATCCTTTTGTCAATAACGTTTAGGTTTTTCCCAGTACAGATATTCCTTGATCAAGATGGGGTTGCATCTCGATAAACTCATCGTAAATTGAAAATATCCTAAGTTGAAAATGCATGTAATATCACACCATAGAGAATGGGTTGCTGACCCTTGTGTTGGCGGGGTTACAGGGACTGTGCTCAGTGCCCTTCCCAGCACCATAAGAAGGCACCCATTTGCATATGGTCAGCCCAGGAAAACATCCAAATTCAAAATCTGAAGCACAGTAAATTTCTAGTAAATGCCTATCACTTTCCTACCAGGTAAAGTTGAGCCATTGTAAGTCGGGACCGGCTGTACTTTGCTATTATAAGCAACAGTTCAATGAACTCTCTCATATGTCTCCCTGCCCATGTGCAGGTGTGTTTACAGGGTAGGAGAGTTACTGGACCAGTGGGGAAATACATCTTCACCAACATGGCACACTGCCACCCGGTTCTTCAAGCGGTTTTGTATGGTTTTAAATGTTGCCAGCACTGGGGCTGCCAAAGGTCTATGGTTCTGGCCCCTTGGAGGGAATGCAGCGATCACAGTCCTGAAACTACCCTTTCCTTGATGAACATCCCTGCAGGGCTTTATTGGCCAACAGAATTTTTCTTCTTTGAGATCCTCTGTTATATTCTTTGCTCATCTTTCTGCTTCCTAATAGGTTGCTTTTCCTATTTTTTAACCAGCTTGTTTTAAATTGTAGATACACCTCATTACTATAAAAGATAACATTATTTCAATTTTTATATTAAAAAATTCTAAATGTGTTACAATTGCTTAACAGTGGTATAAACAATCAGTAACATTAGCACTATAGGACAAACTGCAAGAAAATGTTTAACAAATTGGTATGGTGATAATTTTTATAAAAGAGCTTCAAAATCAGAAATGTGGTTTTGGAACAAAAATAGATCAACACAAAAGAAAAGAAAAAGTCCAGAAACCAAATTTGGCACACATAAAAGTTTAATCTACAAGAAAAAAACAGAACCCTAATCAATGGAGAAAGAGAGAGATGACTTTTAGCCAATGTATCTGATATAGTTGGTTGACTATTCAGAAATAAAACTAGATTCTGATCCTTGATCACAACTAACATAAAAATAAAAACCTTAACGTACCAAAAGAAAAAAAATGGCTTTCAGAGAATAAAAATAGAGGGACTGACTATATGAAGAACAATTGGCAGCTGTTCACATAAAAATTATAAATACCTACACTAAAACAGCATGAATGAAATTAAAGACCAATGACACACTGATTTAAAATATAGGCGCAGAGCTCTTATAACACAAGTAGAAGAGTCTTTCATTTCAATTCTTTTTTTTTTTTTTTTAAAAAAGAGGGAACTAAGAAAGTAAATATCTTAAATATAAGAAAAAAGTTCACATTCATTAGCACATAAAAATACGCATATAAAATACTTCTATGAATCACTGCTTTGATGAAGAACCAAAAAGTAAGGTGATGAAATTTCAACAATCATCTTGTCATTATATGTAAAAATGCGTTAGAAACATTATAAACACCTTGGCCTAGAAGCTAAAATTCCTACAACCCAATCAGAAAATCCTCTGGAATCTTCAGAAAAGCTACTATGCTAATAAGTAAAATTAACAAGGTTGCTGGATAGAAGGTGAATATAACAAAATCAATTGTATTTCTATACAAACAACAACAAGAAGATGAAATATATTTTTAAAACCAGACCATTTACAATAGCATCAAAAACCATGGAATTCTTGCCAGGCCAGCGTGGCTCAGTGGTTGAGCATCGACCTATGATTTGGGAGATTGCAGTTCGATTCCCGGTCAGGGCACATGCCCGGGTTGAGGGGTTGATCCCCATTGAGGGGTGTGCAGGCTGCAATCTCCCAAATCATACCACTGAGCCATGCCAGCTGGGCAAACTATGGAATTCTTAAGGAAAATATGTACAAGATGTGTCCCACTTGAACAAAAGAAATGAAGGATTTAACAAGTTAAGATGTCAA